CTATATAGGTCAAAGAATGACATGCCGATGATATGCGAAAAGCGCATGGCCTTCTGAGACAGCTCGCGTGCTTACAGGGTTGGCCTAAACTTCCTAAACCTTGCACCAAACCCCGAAACGGCCTCCAGGAATTGGTCGGACGATGGGAATCTTCCCCCGAATTCTAGGCAGTCGCGGGGAAGGGTTCAGGGTTTAGGGTTGGCTGTCACCCTCCCTGGAGACAGACAAGGACTAGAGGATGTTGAGACTTGCTGCCCAACAAAGCCGAGAAGAAACACGGCAACCCACCACGAACATAATTAATTCTCACCCCCGCAGAACCAACATCGAACCACGAAGCATCCTTGCTCGCGATCGGAGAACGTTTACAAACACATAGGATGACAAAGGAGCCTCACAAAGCAGAATCGAGGTTATAGGGTATACCAAGGGCTAAACCAAAGGATATCTATACCTCATCAATGGGACATGCTGGGATCAAAAGGGGATACTGTTCCCAATCATTCAGCCCCATTAATTATTAGGTTCAGGACCCCCGCAGCATCAAAGACACCAGAAGAACATCCTGACTGTCCGAAGCATTTGCGGGTGCCTAGACTTTGTGCTGTTTTGTGTGCCAGGTTAGGCTAGGGTGTAAGGCTCCAGTTCAGGGCTAGTAGGGGGGGGATTCCAGACTCGTACATGATATTTTTGCTCCTGGTTTTGGGGTTTGCGTCGGTGGGGAACTGGGGTCCATGAGTTGGCGGTGGCTTGTGGGCCAGGATTTTAGGACGTTATTTACATCTGAAACCAGGTTTTTTGTTTAGTTAACCTGCGTAGGCGGTGCGAGTGGGCTTGCCGGGGGCTTTCTGTCACCATCTTGCAGGGAAGCCTAATGTTTGGGCCTTAATAATTAGAATAGGGTTTTGGGGGTTCCTTACGTATAGACACCAAAAACCCTATTCTAATTATTCACGCCCCTACATTAATCCCGACACCATAAACCGCTTCATCTTGCACGGCAGTTGTCTGCAGGAGGCCTGCGGAAGCATGAGGAACAAAGTCACATCGGTAGTTGGCACATGCAAAACGCAAACCATCGAAAACCTAAACACCCCTTCGACTTGAGGGTTTTTGGCTTGGGGATTCAATTCAAAGCTAGGCTTCTAATGTGAGTTTTAGCTGCTTCCTGTTGCCATGGTACGCCTTTCCTTGTAGTCCAAGGGGAGTCTAACAGCTTCGTGCCCGCTGCCGCCTGTGACGGTGACGGCCCGGGTTTATGTGCGGTGTGCTTTCTCCTCAGAGATGAACCTTGTTTCGCTGCAAAAGAGAACTGTCTACCTCAAGCACTAACTATAGACCTACAGCATATATGATAGCATGCCGTAAACGAAAGCCTAGACGGAAGGTGTACTGGAAGTGACCTGCCAAACTTTTCAATGATGCCGCAGTGAGGCTCGACTGTTGCATCGCTACGTAATCAAGGCACCACCTGCACATGAAACTTTCAAATCAGACACGCCACCAGCTTTCGAAGATCTGATCCGGCTATAGGAAAACTAATCAAAACCATAGAATATTCCGCATCTCCTCCACTCACTGCGCAGGTTGCTTCAGCTTGTCAAGCCCGGACACGATCTGCGTGGCAACACGACGTTCGGGAGTGAATTTGTGATCATGTCTCCATTCGAGTTTTAAGGTCAAGGGCGCGTGCCGGGTTCGAACTCCGGCACGGAAGACACATGCAGCACTGCAGCTGCGATGCGGGCAGCCATGAACATGCCTTACCACTCTGCATCATATAGTGAGTCATCGTGTTCCGCCTGATGCAGCAAACATGGGTGCACATATGGTAATATGAATAAAAAGTTACACACACACACACATATATATATATATAAAGACGATATGCACACATACATACACATGTGCAAAAACACCAAGCGCGCACACGCAAATCGAGGTTTCTGACTTGGGAATCAATTTTGAGGGGTTGCACATGCAGAAACGCTTGCTACTCAAACCGATGGCCACATCCACTGCGCAGGAGCACAAAGCGACTCACAAACATCATGCCGAACAGCTCCTTGTCAAAACGTCAGGGTCCGAAGCCCAAAAGTAACTGCTCAACAGCTCTGTTGGCAGGGGCGTCGTCCGCTACCTTGCTTCAAGGCAAAGGATCAGGGGTTGTAGTATCTCCGGTCAGTATACTAGGTATACCGCTACAGTTATAGCTACGTGTAGCTCTAATCGGGGTGCCTTTCTAGTTGTAATTGACCATGAAACCTTCAGGCAGGCTCTGCAAAGTGAGCGACTACGTGGAAGAGGAACTGCCTTGATGTCCTTGACGATATCCCCCGCCCTGATCTTGCGGAGGAACTTGTCGCCATCGGTCACATAACCTGTTCATGCACAGGGTGGGGCTTCAAAGTCTGAATACACAAAGGCTTCGTATTCAGGATTTCCGACGAAGATGCGGCTCACAGAGGCCGGCTCCTTCCTCACCTTCCTGCGTATGGTAGTTACCATGCTCTACTGCACAGGGCTTCGCGATAAATGACCGCCTCTCCTACAGTCCTCAGCTTAAGGCCTATATAGGGCCTATAGGCTGTAGAGATCTGGGACGTCCGTACCTTCAACCCACGTTGACGCCCTGGATGGCTCCATGACAGTGCCCCTTCAGGTCCAGACCCTAAACCCTAAACCCTAAAGTCCAAAAGGGACCCCTAAAACCCTATAGAACCTTATCCGAAACCCTATAGAAGCCCTTAGAGATCCCTTTAAAGAGGCCCTTAAAGGGACCCCCAAAGTTTCGAGAACCCCAAACCCTAAAACCCTAAAGTCCATGGCAAACTGAGGACTGAGCCAAAGGAGCCGTATCTTCCATCAAAGAGGTTCTTGCCCGCAGGCGTCATGTCCTCAGCTGGCCGATGACTGACTGGTTCTTAGTAGGGAATGAGGGACTGGGTTATTGGGACGACTATAGGGAACCTTAAGGGGCTATCATAGGGATCCATTCCCCCATTCCCTACTAAGAACCAGAGAGATTAAATGGAGCTTCAGAAGTGGACAGTGGGTCGCCCGGGGTTATGTTCAAAACATCCCCCTAAGTCGTATAGACCAAGTTAGGCTCAGAAACTCGCGAAAGGGTGACACGATTCGGTCACACTTCAGCCCAGGGCCCCAATTACAGTTTCGGGCATGGGGGTCAGGGGTGTCTGGACGGAAGCCGTGATTTGCGGTCTCTTGAAGGAAACTTTTTCATGCTAGCGCATCTGACACACGAGACGCGCTCTGGCTGGTTGTAAATTCTGGTCTGGTCGCTCAGTAGGCAACCAGAGTCATCTTTCAGGTTACATATAATACACACTACAAAGTTTTAGAATGGTGTAGTCTACCCCAAAAGCTCTGAAACCTCAAACCCTAGCCCGGCTCTGATCACTGCTTGGTTTTTCAGAACTGGCTGAAGTCTGCCGCGCCTTGCTTCTTCAGAGTCGCAGCAGATTGCTAGCATTCCGACGGCCCGGATGGCTTTTCAGGGGCTTAGAGCTTAAGGGGTTTAGGGTTTAGGGGCTTAGAGCGAAGTTAGGGTTTGTTTTTGGAGTTTAGTATCTGCAAGCAGTGTGTGAAGAGTGCATGTGCGTATACAGACAACATGTCCTCATTCATGACCTATCCGCCTGTACAGCTGTGTATGCTCTTCCAACTTTCAACCATACGGTCATCATGATGTTTGCAACTTGTTTTTTGTTTTTATGCTGCCTCCATCATGAACATATGCATGCTTGTATGCGCCTGTGGATGCATACATTGGAAACCAAATGCATTTATATATGCTTTTGCATATCATGCTGCATATTGACACCCTTTTCAGTGTGCCAGCGAACACTCCTCAACAGCAGGAAACCCTGAACTCTTAACCATTCGTTCACAAGGGACTCGACTGCTGCCCTAAACCCTAAACACCGAAACATGCACACGCTGTTTTCTTTTCGCCGCTAGTCCTGAGCAGAGCTCTGCGGGATGAAACGCCAGTTGCCGGTCCCTTGACAGACCCTGGCCATGCAATATAGGAGCCTCCTAGCAGTTATAAGTTATAAAATATAGCTCAGGGTTCCTTGGGGTTCCGTAACAAGATCAACCCTACTGTATCCAGTTGTCAAGGCCCTATTATAGTAATCTTAACCAATGGGCTGGGCACAGCCAGAAAATTGGTGTCGAAGGGGGGTTGTTCGGCCGTATGCTGAAACGATTTAGGGTTTAGAGCGCCAGGGATTGCTGAAGGCGCCTATTGCAATCATCGGCTGCTTTCATAAACAGTTTTAGGCGAGCCGGGTTCAAGAACATCCCCCCGAAACGACGCAGAAAGGGCTCCGTGGAACCGACGACTTCGGTGCAGTTGGTGCACGTGCATGGTGTGGGCAGGACTAGCGTACGCCATGCCCTCCAAAAGAGCTGAAATCCAGAACTCAAATCTGGATCAGACCCTCTAAAAACCCTTTTGCATCCAGGACTCTGTTCTAAAAACCCTAAACCCCTAAACCCTAAAGGGATTAGAGGCCTATGGTGGCCCGGGAGAGGGTCTCTTTGACGGCTAATCTGTTTTTGTTGCTCTTAACCGGGCGTGGGGCTGATTGACGGCTACCCATAGGCCCCTAAGTAGTTCCTTTTTGGGATGACCTTATAGGATTCTGATTATAAGCCACAAACAGGAACAACTTAGGAGCCTATGGGAAGAAGACACTCAAGCTCCATCTGTTAAGGGCTTCACTGACCCAAGAAACGACAGGCCGGCACAAATGCGCTGTTTAAAGTTGTTCAACGAAAGTACAGTCCGAGGTGGTATCGATGTCTCTTGGGCGAACTTGCCACATAAACAAGCTCTTCATACATTAGGCTGCATGCTAGTCTGATAGAGAAATCAGGAACCTTCTCTCGAGACTTGCCGCACACACTCACTCACTCACAGCCTCAAATTATTTCAGAAGTTACCCTGAAACCCTAAACCCTAAACCGCGACCTCATGCGCTCAGACGATGGTAGGCATCATGGCTTGCTGGAGCAGAGCGGCGGCCTCCAGACATCTGCTTCAGCCCACACACTCCAACATCCACTAGTCCAGGGTCACGGAAAAACGGTCTCTACCATCATATGTGGGAAGTTATTTTTCCCACCCGCCCAGCTGACTAAGTGGGAAGTTATTGGTTAAAAGGGTCTCGGAGTCGCTGTTTTATTTCTGCATGAACTTGATTCCAGGCTCCACAGCTTGTAACTTTCTTGCCATTGAATTGAGAGAAGCACCTAGCATCTCTCAAATCATTCTGCCACTGGAGGTCTTCGTCATCAAACAGTCGGTAACAGCAATTTGGCAATAGCAGCACCAGAAGCAGCAGCCACAACAGCTGCAGCAGCAGTAGACGCAGCCACAGTGGCCGGTGTTTGAGCGCAACAGCTGGTACGATGCCGGGTTTTCCAAGGCGAAACACCTTCCCCGACCCCTATGTTGTAAGTGCAGGCCTCTACAACAGGCTTTCTGTGCGGGAGACATTCATGGCTCTTTGCACGGGCTTGGCACAATCATGAAGGAGGCTTCTTCAAATCAGGGGTGTGTTTTGGGGGTTATTCTTTCAAGCATCCGACTGTTTCGCGTCTATTCTATGTTTGGGCTGCGATCCTCTGAAACTCGCAGGCATGGCCTCTCCAGAAGCCCAGAGCATAGGTGCCCAGGCACATCATAGACGCCACGACCACGCTTACAAGCGGACCTTGGCAGAAAGCCACAGCCGAAACTCTTGGAACAAAGCCCTGTGCCCTGGTTCTAAACCCCCAAAATATCCTGCTTCTTATCCAGCACTGTGATATTGAAGCTCATTGCCGCTGTTGCCGATGCTACAACAACAACAACAACCACTACCACGACGACGACGACGACGACGACGACGACTACTACTACTACTTTTACTACTACTTTTTTTTACTACTACTTTTACTTTTACTATTACTACTACTACTACTACTACTACTACTACGACGACGACTACGACGACGACGACGACGACGACTACTAAGTACTACTACGCTTGCTCCTGGATCCCCAAACCCTAAACCCAACCAAACCTAAACCCTAAACCAAACGAGGCCACAGCCCCCCCATCAAAAAAAAACAAAAAAAAATAACAACAAATAAAAGGCTCGGAAGGCCAGCTTAGGGCGGTGACGCAGAACTATGGGGGCCGAAGTTACCTGTGCATTCTTGACCACGAGACCATGAAACACCAAAGTCATCTAAAGGGTTTGGGGTGAACCTTGAGCCAGCTGGATTGGGGGGCTGCCGCATAATTGCTATTTGCAGGTGTGAGGATGCTTTGCCGAGCAGATGCCAGCCTTTCCTGAGTTCCCAACTCTCGCTCGTGGCGGAAATGCTGGTTGCGCCTGAGATCTTCAACCCCTGGCTGCACCCATGCAATCGGGCTCTTGAAGACTAAGGGCTCCCTTACGGAAGAAACTTTGCACTGCGCCTTGCATAAGACTTACCCTCCGGTGAGCTTGTAGGGTTTAGGGTTGAACGGTTTTTATGGTCAAATGTACAGGTTGGTATATATTTACCAACGCTGCACAAAGTCTTGCGAACAGCCGGGCTTCTGCGTGCAGAGGCTGTATGTGGACTACACGATTTGGATAGCATTGCATGCCGTTTCACAGTACCTGGGTTTCGATGGGGTCGCAGCCTCACTTTTGCAAGGACTTTAAGCTTCTGTAGAGGGTTCATCGGTGCGTGAGGACCAAGGGCTTTCGGGTTTACAGGGTTTCAACTTTCTGGCTTAAGGGTGCGTGCCTAGTATGGAACATCGGCCATGTACGCCAAGTATTCACTTCACTGCCTTCAGAACTTCACTTCACTCACCTCTCCTGGCGTGCAGCCCTTTAGCAAGGAAACAGGCCAGGACCCTATGCACAAATTGTAACTTGAATACACAATACCACCCTAAGCCCTAAATCCTATAGACCTAACCCCTAAGCCCTAAACCCTAAACCAGGCCCAAAAAAGCCCTGTAAAGTCCCCGAACCCAGGGCGATGCGTACGAGGCCCCTGCTATCGGAGGTGCCGTAGCCACGAACCTCACGGAGCATCCCAGGAGCGTTCACCCGTCTGAGGGAGTTCCGGAGGCGAGTAGTAGTAACAAGTAGTAGCGGTGGTAGTGGTAGTAGTAGTAGTAGTGGTGATCGTAGTGGTGGTCGTAGTAGTGGTGGTGGTGGTGGTGGTGGTGGTGGTAGCAGTAAGAGTAGCGGTAGTAGTGGGCTTTAGGGATTGGCGTTGGCCTTCAGGGTCTAGGTGCGGGAGTTTGAAGCGGCTAAAGCTCCCAGGCAAAGCACACGATGGCGCATCAAAGGCGACACTTTGCAACTGTGCACCCTATGGATCACGACTTTGCAGACGTAAGGCCGTCAACATGTCAGCCTGCCACAAGGGCACAGGCAATCACCATGTAAGTCCTTCCGAAAAGATTGCTGCGTAAGTTCCACGAGCATTCTGAAACCCTAACTGGACCTGCGGACACCTACCTTTCTGAGTTGCTTATGCAAAACTACAAAACAGAGATGGCAATGCCCTGGGCAGCCCGGCTCCCCACTTGAGGACCGGAGCTAGGTTGCTCAGCTGGTCCTGGCATGCACGGATGTGACTAGCAGGACCCAGAGATGTCCAAAGTGCATGATGTAGGGACCTCAAATGATTAGAACAAAGGTGCTGGAGTAGTCGACTCTGTATTGGTAGTTTGACACTCGCACTCGGACAAGCCTGGCAA